ATAAATAATATGGAATTTTATGGGGTGCTTCCATTGTAGAAATTAATAGCATTAACCAAACAATTTAAATGGATCGTGTTCATAAAGTAGGTATAATGGTACGACTTAAAAAATTCTTTCATGGACTTTAGTTTAATATAGATATGAGTTGTCTAATTTAAATCTCACGATTGTTTGTTGACAATAATTCACTATCGAATTGTCTATCATAATAGAGTATTTTACACATTTATCTCTTCAACTTGTATGATTTTATCAGCTTATTTTCTAAATTTTTAACTACCCCATTCAACTTGTAAAATTATTATAATGTGTCTCATTTTATGAAATTTTTATAATTTTTAAGGGACAGAAAGTTGAACAATTAAAATACTTGTATTATAGTTTGAATTGTGATGTTAGAAAATTTTCGCCGTACGTATTTTGTGGTACCAATAGATAGCAAAAGCATATTTAAAATGAGACACATTTCAATAATTCTACAAGTTGAAATTAAATGGACAAATTGTGAAAATTAGAACTCCATAAGAAAAGTTTTCAAAACCCTAAGTAACATATATTTGTCCAACAAGTCATAGACATGTTTTGACCTTGCATTTATGTATAACTTCATCACGTGGCGTCTATATGCAACAATACGAGTGTCTCTGTGTCTATATATATATATATATCATGCAAGTACGCAATATGTACATAATTATGCGTTAGTTATATATGATAAAACATTAATTCAAGTATTATTATTATTATAACTATCTATACTGTCATATCCTTTAAATTATTTATTGTTATATTGAAAGACGTAGTCCATGGATCGTACGGTATAGTGGAATGAAATTCGAGGAAGCATGTATCCATCCATATTTAAGATGCATTATATAAATATAAATATATATATATACGTGTGAGTGACTGTAAAGAAAAACCCCAAATAAACTAAAATAAAAGACATAGGGATTAGTTTAAAAAGGCAAAAAAACAAAAACAAAAAAAAAACAAAAAGACAAAAAAGCCAGTTGGACATGTGTAAAGCTTTTAAAGTCAAAGGGACAGGAAGTAAGATAATTAATAATCAGATTCATCCGTAAATCGGAATAAGAATACTGTTCTAGATTAGTCCCAAAAAATGTTACATCATCAAGAGTTGTAACCCATTAACAATGGTTGCAAAATAAAATAGATAATTATCTTACGCAAACAGAAAGATTACTCGATTACAAGATATTCTTGAGAGTAATGGGCCTTAAAACTTGTAAACTCATACATACTTGTAATTATTAAGAAAGGAGAAATAGAGAAATAAGTCAAGACTTGAGAAGAATTAAAATTAATAGGTCAATAGTTTACATAAGTTAATAAATAGGCTAAATTACTGTTTTCGTCCATAATTTGTCTGGTTATGAACCATAACTTGACAAGTTATGAACGGTTTTTGTCCATAACTTGTCTGGCTATGAACCATAATTTGACAAGTTTATCCATAACTTATCTGGTTATGAACCATAACTTGATAAGTTATGGCCTATTAATTTCTATAACTAAAAATTGGTCTATATACTTTCTTAAGCTTTTCATATTAGCCTATTTTTTACTATTTCCGTATTAAGAATGAGATGCTCTAATTCATATTAACGTGAGCAATACAGTCGTTAAAGACAAATAAAAAAAATAAAAATACACAAAATTTATATATTACTTCGCCCTCAATTTGATAACTATGTCTACTTTATGTCACGAAGAGAAAATTACACAACCCCTTGATACTGATAATCCTAAAACAACTCCTCTATTATGAAAAAATAATAATAAAGAAATAAAACTTACAAGTGTGAAATATTCAGGACTGTGTCTAAGTCAAGGCAATAATGAGATTTCACGGCATAATAAACTAAATAAAAAATTTTGAATAAATAAAAGATTAAATGAGTAAGTAGTTAATCAAAATTTTAAATAAAATACAATCAAGAATAAACTAATGAGTAGCCGATCTGATTAGAGTAAGCTTTTTTTGTTGACTATTAAACAATGTCTTCGCACGAGTCAGGTTTGACTAGGGTTGCGTTTTTTAGTATCAATGTTATTGTTAGAACACTTGCCAATGAGTTCAAAAAAAAAAAAAAAAATGGAACCCAATGAAAGTATTTACGTTGAATTATTTTTAATCTCTCTTTTATTCGTTAATATATTTATTGAAGAAATATTATAGTTGGTGTTTGCATGTGAATTACACCCATCGAGTAAAAGAGTTATCCAAAAGTCAATAAGGATTTAACAAGAATTAAGCAAATTAATTTTAATTAGATCCATTAAGTCCAATTCTACCTAAGGATCTATTGCACTTATTATATGTGAACTGCAGCTGTAATTATTACAATTACTATTATTCTTAATCTTTTCTGTATAAATTTATTGATCAATGTTCTTACTAGTTATGTTAGTTGACAGCTTCGTACCAATTTACTTAGTTAATTAGCATTAGATAAAATTTTACGTAATCTTGTTAAGAATCCAACATCTCTATTGGAGAATTAAAAAGAACCAAAAAAAAAAAAAAGAACAAGAGAACTTTTATCTCTCGTTTACAATTTTTGTTAATTTGCATGAGTGCTCAAGTAAAACTATATAATCCAATAAGACAAAATATAACAAATAGCATATCTTAGACATGTTATTGAAGTTTATAACATTTTTTTTTTAATATTGATAAATTATAGTATATTTTAAATTTTCATTCTTAAAAAATAATCATTTCCAAATTAATATATTAAGCACACTATTAAATACATTATTTCACTTATTCTCCCTAAAATAACATGCAAACCTTGAATTTAGGGCCATTTAATAAGTGTGTTAGTAAGAAAAAGAAAACTTTCACATGGTAAAAAGTAAAATAAATACGTCTTACGATGTTATAGTATTAGGTAGCAAGTTTATTATATTATTAAATTTGTGGTATTGCATCACTAGCGGATATATTTTTTCTAAATTTAAGATGAGAGTAGTAGACTAGCAGTGAATGGGGATAAAGAAGATGGTATGATGTTAATCGATAATAGAAGAAGTTGGATTGGGAATAATGATGTTGCATTTGGTAAATGTAAATGCTAAATTACATATAAGAGGTATCTGATGGGTAATTAAGAAATTGGTAAGAATATTGACCAATGAAGGTGGTATCACTAATCTAGCGGTGGTATTATGACAAGGATGTATGTCTTAAGTCTCTTATTTACAGCTCAAAACTCTAATCCTCATGTCTTCACAAAAAATAATTTCAAAAGTGACAATGCTCACCTATGGTGGGTATAAAGGACTGTTGCAAAAACTAATACTAACAATTGCGGAATAAGACTTTCCCTTTTTGTGTGCTAAAATAGAATCTCAAATAAAATGCCAACAAAGTCAAACAACCAATGCACTTATTAATCAAAATAATCAACCATAAATGAAACACCAATTTTTAGCGTGAAAAACCTCTCAAATTGATAATAAAAACTACGGGACCTTTATGCCACTTAAAATTCTTCCACTATATTAACAATGAGATTACAAAGTTTCTCTCTAGAATCAAACTAGAGGCTCACAACAATAATATCGGTAAGAAACACTATTCTTGGTTCACTAACAATATAGATATCATCATCAAATATGGATAACAACAATAACATCAAAGAAAAACTTAGGTCTCACCAAAATAAGAGTACTCGAGAGAGTACTAAAGAGAGACTAAATGAGAAATTAAGTCTGGTAGATTGGAAGAGGTCGCCACAAAGATTCTCCATGTCAAATTTGAACTGAAACCGACAACATTTCGCTACCCAATCATCTTATACAAGCACAAAAACCCTACTCCTTTTCTCTTTCTCTCTCTATACTTTTCTTCCCTTTTCTTTCTCTGGTTTTTCTCGGCTGCCCGATTTCCCTTCTTCTTTTGTTTTCTATGTTTTCTGGTTTGCTGCCCACGTGAGCAGCATGCCTTTCATTTTTTGTTGGCATTTGGGCTTAAGGCCCATTATTGGTTCCAGCCCACAAATGGGGCGAACCCAACAAGGACTAGTGGTGGACGAATGAAATCTGGATTGTGAAAAGGTGGATAATAGGTTTAAGCTCTTAAGCATTGCACCGGACAAACCCATTGATTCTCATTTATGGTGAGCAAACCAGTGGTGGGCTGGGTTGTGAACGGATAGAGATCGAAAAATAAGTTTTAACACTTGACTATTGCAACTGTACAATCAGTTGATTCATTTTATAAGTACTGAGTGAGTGAGGGCTCTTTTTTTATTAGCAAAAAGGTGGTACCACTAAGATTTTGAAGTTTTGATTTTGTACGTTTCTCTGTAAACTTTTGACAGTATTCTCACTTCATAAAAAAATAACTTATTGTGTCCTTTACTCAATAAAACATTAATAATATCCCGATAAATAATAGAAATTTTGATTTTGTATTGAAACATGTATCATGTATATTAAAAAGCTTTTCATTGTGCTTAGCGTTAAATGTTACTTATTATTGTTGTTGATGCAACCATCATAGTTCTAACGATATACTACAGGCTATCATATAATAGAGTCAAATGTTCGTAGTGATAATAGGAGTACTCGGCAGGTGAATATAGGAATTTCACCTTTGAAGTGATGAATAAAGGAAAATAGTAGAAAATAGGCCAATATGAAAAGCTTAAAAAAGTATATAGGCTAATTTTTAGTTATAGAAATTAATAGGTCATAACTTGTCAAGTTATGGTTCATAACCAGATAAGTTATGGATAAATTTGTCAAGTTATGGTTCATAGTCAGACAAATTATGGATAATTATGGACAATAACTTATCAAGTTATGGTTCATAACCAGACAAATTATGAACAAAAACAGTAATTTGACCTATTTATTAACTTATATAAACTATTAACCTATTAATTTTAATTCATCTCAGTATTAATATTGACCTATTTCTTTCTTTCTCCCGTGAATAAATAGAATTAGAAGTGGTATAGAACCTAATTTAAACACGTACTGGGCTGCATTTGGACACAAGTACAGAGGGTATCCACAATCTGACCCATATCAGGCCTGGCTTCCCACCTGTCATTCAAAGCCCAATTGGTTAACTCCACCAACACTCGCAGCTGCCCGAAGTGGGCCTTCCCATGAAGTTTGGGATCCAATAACATTGCAGCCATCAAATCAATATCATTCCTATGGTTCATTCTCCACGGGTGCGTCCACTCAGCCAACGTTGTTGGGCCTTGGCTGGACTTGAGGCCCGTTATCAGTTCCAACACCACTACTCCAAAACTGTACACATCACTCTTTGGGCTCACCAGGCCCGTGTTGAGATAAGTGGTGTCGATGTAGCCGAATGAGCCCTTGATGGTAGTGGGCTTTAGTGGGCCATGGAGCTTGGAAAGCCCAAAATCAGCGAGCTTGGCATGGTTGTCATCGAGAAGAAGGATGTTGGAGGACTTAACATCTCTGTGGATGATGGGCTGATGGGCCTGGGAGTGGAGGTAGTGAAGTGCCTTTGCAATGTCAAGCCCAATGCTCAAGCGGCTCTCCCACGAAAGTATTCCTGCCTTTTGCCCCTCAGATGTGTGCATCCTCTCAAACAGGCTCCTCTTTGGAACATACTCCAACACTAGAAGTTGTTCTTCTGCATATATATATATATATATATATATATATATTAGTTTTCATTTTTCATATTGTACATATTATAGATGATCTCTAATTGGATTTGAGTTATAACGAGTGACTAACGTTGGTGGGGAAAAAAAGGATTTTTTTAAGCGCTATTCAAATAACAATTAAACTTAGGCTATCCTAAATGGACCTTTAGATATTACTTGTGTGAGTCACGTATAAATCGTCTTAGTTGTTGCTTAAGAATTTAGGGACTAACTTAAAAAATCCATAGCTAGGTACTTACCTCTATCCAAGCAGAAACCCAACAATGAGACCAAATTGGGGTGAGAAACCTTAAGAAGAAGTGAAATTTCATCCAAGAAAACTCTCCTGGAACCTCCTCTCTCATTCATGATCCGCTTCACAGCTCCAAACTTGCCATCCCCGAGCTCCGCTAGATAGACACGACAAGTAGCTCCGACTCCGATCTGGACTCCAAAATCTCTCGTGGCACCACGGAGCTCTTCTAGTGTATAGCTCCTAATCTTCATCCTCACTCCTACTTCTCCATAATCACATGCACTACTACCACTAATTGTCAAGCCTTTGTGATGATGATCATGATCATCAAATTGAACATCGGATTTGTCTCCTTTTCCATAGTTAGATGTTAATGCAAACTTTCTTAAGATGATGGCCACAACTAGCACGACCACAACGGCTGCAATTATCCACATCATTTTTGGGTTTGTAGTGGAGAACCCCAAAAGCCACATGATCTAAAATATTTATGTCTTTTAACTCTTGATCTTTGTTCTTTTTTCTTTTTGGTTGCTAATAACTCTTCATCTATGCTTGAAAACCTTTAGTTTCTTTACCTCATTCGTTGCATTTATAGATTATCATGTTTGTGAACTTTCAAGGATTTTTAAGATTCATTAATTTGGAATTTAGCACAAGAGAGAGAGAGAGAGAGAAATGACGAGCCAAGAGTAGTATAGAAAACTAACATTATGTGGGGGAAGTAATCACTAGTAAGGGTCTTTATTGTGTCGTTTAGCTTCTTGTCCATTATTAAGGCTTGTGTAAGGAATCAACATCTTATAAGACTAAATTATTGAGCCAAAGAAAAAAAAAACGAAAGAAGAGGAAATGAAAGGAAAACTAAAATTACCTTCTATAAATGTAAGCAAATATTCAACACAAACTATTGATTTTTTATTTTTTTATTTTTGAAATGAAATTAATTTCACATAAGAGACAAATTACACAACACATAAATGATCTCAAATATAAAGAAATTCGACTTCCAATCAATAATTGGATCCACCAGTAAAAGCTAAAATAGCACAGGGATAAATACAAGTACCGAAACTTAAATAGAAAAAGATCCGCTTAGCACATAAACTTCAAGCTTGACCATTACTGGTTGAACATCACCAAAACAATCGATGGACTAGCCCAGTCAACTAAGACCAATCCCCACGTAACAGGGAGGAAGGAGTACAAGAAAAAATAGAGAATTTTATCTTTGAGAGTACATGAGTCTGGATCTTTACCCCTTATTCTTGATAAATATCCTTTTGTTAGTATAAGTATTTAGCTAAAAAGGTTATGAATCAAAAATAAATGATAAAAATTTTGACTCATACACTTTTAAAAAGTATTTATCAAAATTATCTCAGGACAATCGCAATACGATACAGAGAAACCTCTAGTTTGAAAACATATACCACATGGTATGGGTGAGAGATTCTTTATTTTTTCCTTGCTGAGGATTTTGGTTTTCTTTTTTACTTAATCGAAACTTTTTTTTTTTTTTTTGCCGAATATAAGCTTTTGTATAATTTGTGAAGTAATCGGATAATTGTAATATTAATAGTTGACGGGTCGTGAAACTTTTTTTTTTTTGCTGGAATTTTTTTTTTATATTTAAAACTGCGCACCATGCAGGAGAATTAAGCATAATTTTTCGAGTTGTATGATCTTTCAATAAGAGAAAAACAGAGACAAGGAAAAAGAAAGAGTGGGAATAAATATATAAGAGAATTTATTGATTTGAAGGTTAATGTCTTTTATTTTTATTACTTTTTTCGTTAATATAATGTCATTTTGACTGAAACAAAATGTCAGCAGTCTTGACAATAAAATAATTAAAATGTTAGGTAACCAGTTGTTCACAACGTACAGGTAATTTAAGACGCACCAATTGCGTTATATAAAAATCTGGCCTCGATTAATTAAACTAAATAAATATAGCTAATGGTCACCCATATTCCTTTTATTCAAAACAGAGCCTATTTTGACCAGTCCAGATCAAATACATACATAGCGATCACTCACCAACCAAACAAAAAAAAATAGTAATTATCCAACATTTTTTACGAGACGTTTAAGATTTAGATGCACAATTTTTCTACTTTAAATTACACCTAATTTCTAAATGCATTATCATTGTGCTTTTGATTTGCACAATCTAGATGAACTAATGAAAAAAGCAATAAAATGTGACATAAATGTAAAAAAAATAAAAATAAAAATAAAAAAAAAATTGCGGCATAATGTATATAAAAATTGTGGCATCCCACCGAATTTTCTGTGTTTTTTTTTTTTTTGGCCTTTTCATTCTTTCTTTATAATTATCTCGACAGTAGTAGATGGGTTATTGTTCCCTGCAATTTTTAACTAATTGAAAATTTAACAACATTAATTTTTAATAGATTAAAAAAATCAATCATAAATATTAGTATTTTTCTTTTATATGAAAAACATATTTCTTATTTTACATTTTCTTATTATTATTAGACTTTTTTACATGTGACCCCCTTTAACTTCACGTATTTGGCAAGTTGGTCCCTGAATTAAAAATTATTTTAATTAGCCCTCGTACTTTCAAATTAGGATTAATTTCAAAAAAATTTCTCGAACTATGACCCTTATAATACTTTCTTTCCTGAATTTTATAAAGTAACATCGGTTCTCCCCGAACATTATTCCGTTAATAAGTTTTATTCTTATGTTACAATTAGTGATGGAAATCGCCACGTGTACTTAACCCATTTGAGGAGGATATTATCATAAATTAACCTGTAACAACCCTAGGTTATTAAAAAAGTAATTAAAAAAACTCAAATGCATTAAAAAAAACCATTTTGTCGATTTTTTTTGTTGTGTTAGGGCTAGAACTTTTCTCCAAAAAAAAAAAAAATCTGAGGAAAAATCAATCTTCATTGTAAATTTTCATAGTGAATCACTCTCAATGACTGCAACATGGGGAAATATTGATGATTTTAATCCTATTGTTCTTTCCTTTATTTATTCATTCCCCAACTTAAAAAAGCCTTATTATTATTATTATTATTATTATTATTAACTTTTTTTAATACGTCAATATATCGATATGTCAGATTTTTTATCTATTAGATCTATATAAAAAAAATAAAAAATAAAAAATATATAAATTTAATGATTAGAAAAATTTGACTTATCAGTGCGCTAGCGTATCAAAGAATCTCTATTAGTATTATTATTATTATTATTATTATTATATTTTTTGTATTATTATTTGGGTTTTTTTTTTAGCAATATTATTATTTGGGATTAAAGAGGAACTCAGTTGAGTTTCTAAGAGAGGGAGAGAGAGAGAGCAGAAATCAGAGAGGAACATGGAGGTTGTTGACCTTCGCTGAGGCTCAAGAGTGATCGATCAGATTCATATATCATATAAAGGAAGAAAGAGAGAAAGACAGAAAAAGAGAGAGAGAATGAAGAGAAAGTAAAACAAAGCAAAACAGAGAAACAATAAGAAAAAATTTCAATTATAAATCGATGGGTTGGAGGAATGCGTTAGAGGAAGCTCGGAATTGGAAACCAGTATTCGTGGCAATCTACGGCAGCCTCGTTATTGGGATTCTCGTCTCCTCTTTCTACGTCTTCTCCGCCATTTACTCTCCCAATTCTTCTCCTTTCCTTTCCTCTTTCTCTTCTCTCTCTCGTCAGTACTCTTTTCTCTTCCTACTTCTTTCTCATTTCATTCCTTCTATCTATTTATTATTATGCAATTCCATTTACTTTTCTTTCCTTTTTTTTTTTGGTGGCATGTAGATGAAGCAGCAAATCATTCAGAACCAACAAAAACGACAGTTAATACAGTTAAAACAGTTGGCACTCCAATGCCAATGCCCGAGAAACCAACCTTAGGAGGGGTTGGGGTCAGACCCATTTGGGAAGCTCCCTCTAGAACCAAGAAAATGCCGCCATTGAAGAGTTTTCGATTGACAAAGGAACTTGTTCAGCAAAGGGTCAAAGATAATGTCGTTATTGTTACCTTTGGGAACTATGCCTTCATGGATTTCATTCTCACCTGGGTTAAGCACTTGACAGATCTCAACCTTTCTAACATTCTTGTTGGTAAGTTTGTTTTTTCGTTTTTTTTTTTAAATTGATAAAATTGCTTAGGGTCAGTTTGGTATGCAGGTTTGAATTGTAGCGATTTGACCTCATTGGTTTGAACTGTAAAATCTTATCTTTGTAGTTTAAACGGCAATCCGAACCAGCATTTGGATATGCAATTAAGGTGTCAAATACGTACGAGGAATAAAATTTGGTTTAGATAGTGTTGAAAGCTTAAATTTGAAAAAACATGCGAGAATTGTCACTATAAAAAAAGTGTCAGCATTTGCTGAATTTGGGAGGGGTGAAAATCCTCAAATTGGAGCGGGGTCAAAATGATCTCCATAGTTCGAATAAAGTAACCTAACTAGTGTGCTCAACACCAATTTTAGTTGGGTACATGTATTCAGATTGTGTATGTACCACTAAACACGCTCGAGAATTTTTTTTTTGTGTGTGTGTGTGTGTGTGTTTTATTTACTTATTTTATTATACGTGTTTATGGTTTTTGGAATTGGTGGTTTAGGTGCTATGGACACCAAACTTTTAGAGGCTTTGTATTGGAAAGGGATTCCTGTGTTTGACATGGGGAGCCATATGAGCACAATAGATGTTGGATGGGGCTCACCAACATTTCATAAGATGGGCAGAGAGAAAGTTATTTTGATAGACGCAATCCTTCCTTATGGTTTTGAGTTGTTGATGTGTGATACAGACATGGTTTGGTTAAAGGTAAGTTCTCCTCTGTTCCTATTTGATTGTTTTGTCTACTTTCCTGTCGATGTATCCTTTGATAACTAAAGCATTCTAATCTCTTTATGATAAAGCTTCTTTTTTTTTTCCCTGTTATTCATTTCAAGTTATCTGTTATGTTTTTTAAACAGAACCCACTTCCTTATCTCGCTCGTTATCCCGGGGCAGATGTCTTGACTTCCAGTGATAGTGTTGTACCAACAGTTTCTGATGACAGTCTGGACAATTGGCAACAAGGTGAAGCTTTGAAATAAAACAAAATAAATTATCATTTTGTGTATGTTTTTCTGTCAAATGTTGTTGTTACAAAAGTATAGGCCATCAGCTCACAGGAAAAGTTTGTATAGCTGTAAATGGTACTAATATGGAATCATTTAAAAGTACGCGACATACCATGGATCTCAAGATCTCTGTTACTAGAAAGTTTTCTAGAGAAAAGCAAAAACAGTTACCGTCAGGTGCCTTTTGCTACAGAACGTATTACAGCTTCTTACTTTCTTTCTATTTTTCTTTTCCTGAAGGCTTCCCATGTAAGCTTTGATAATGGTTGGATTTTTCCATGGTGAATATGTAGAGGGCACATATGTATATATTTCTGTACTTTGGTTCTTAGATTGAGGATTAGTGACTGTCTGTATTTAGGGACTGCCCACAGATTGTAAGCTCACACCCGCGCCAGCCACCGCTTAGTACATTCTGTCTCAGCTCAGATAGTACACAGTTGTCATCATTGCTTCAATTGCGTTGCTATTTCTGGATCACTTAAGTTTTACTCCTTAAAAATATTAAATAAATCAATTCAATTCAATACTGACGTATATCTTGTTTCCCGTAAACAGTTGGTGCTGCCTACAATATAGGAATTTTCCATTGGCGGCCAACAGATTCTGCAAAGAAATTGGCGAAGGAATGGAAAGAAATACTTCTGGCGGACGATAAGATTTGGGATCAGAATGGTTTTAACGACCTTGTGCGCAGGCAGTTAGGACCATCAGTTGATAAGGAAAGTGGACTTGTGTATTCTTATGATGGAAATCTCAAGCTTGGAATTTTACCAGCAAGCATATTCTGTAGTGGGCATACATATTTTGTCCAGGTAGGATCTATAGATCTTTGCCTGCCTCGTTTGGACAGTATATCCTCGTTTAATCACTCCATAGATGCTAGACTTCTATTCCTTTTCTTTGTTATATATATAGTTTTCCAATTACTCGTGTGCCACAAAACTTAAAATTACCGCTTCACACAGTTATGTAGCATAATAAACTGTGTTCCAAGGTTCTACCAGGTCCTAATGAGTTGTAATGCTGATGTGGCAGGCCATGTATCAGCAACTCAGACTGGAGCCCTATGCCGTGCACACGACATTTCAGTATGCAGGTACGGACGGAAAGCGCCACAGACTGCGGGAAGGCATGTTCTTCTTTGATCCGCCAGAGTATTATGACGCACCAGGTACAACTAGGCCATATATTTTGTCTGTATTAGGATGCAACTGTTTTTGCTGTTGCTTTCTCTGCACACTACTATTTGATGGTTCCGTGGTTACAAGTCGCTATTACTTATTTCTTATTCTATCCCCATCACATCTTCATCTGTGTCTAGTAACAAGTGAAATAATAAGATGCATAACTATTGGGCGTCTTTGATATACACTTTACTTTTGACCTGTATTTCAAGTATCTAAAGCGCCTTCCTACATAATATTTGTATAAGAAGCTTGAGTCTTAGGCAGCCAATTTATTCAGGTGCCATAACTGTAAAACCTTTGGGGTCCGTTTGGTATGAGGTTCAAGTGCTTTGAACTCAAGGTTTTGGTTCAAACCTGTGTTTGGTTGCAAAAAGTAAAAAGTGATTTGAACCCTTGATGTGACATTTAAACCATTAAAAACAAAGGGTTTCTAAACTCAAACCCCCAAGGGTTCTCATAATTTGAACCTAGGTTCAAACCCCACAATTCAAACCACATGATTCAAACCCAAAAGGTTCAAAGCACCCTGGTTTAAACCCACTTACCAAATGGCCCTTGGTGTCTGACAGCAGCTGCTATAAATATCGATCATTTTTTACAATGACATTAAGTGGATGACACGTTTGCAAGTTTCCTTTCCTTTATTTTTTCTCATCCGTTTCTTCTTCTTTAGTTACAACTTATGAGTACGGGTTACAGTTGGGAACAAGATTGACTACAATAAATTTCATTGTTTATTGAACACGTAAAATTTAAAAAAAAAAAAAAAATCATCTCTAAGGCTAACTGTAAAATATTTATCACAGTTATACTGCAATACTAACCCTGATCAACTCTTTCGAATTTATGCAGGAGGTTTCTTGTCATTCAAGCCATCTATTCCTAAGAGCTTGTTACTTGAGGGGCAGCATAGTATTGAGTCCCACTTTGCTCTTGTTAATTATCAAGTATGCATGTATTGACCTACTCCCACTAACTTCTGCAATTTGTTATGTAACCGAATTACAATTGCTAATATACACTACAAATTATTCTTTTCAGATGAGACAAATACGGACAGCACTTGCGATTGCTTCTGTTTTGAATCGCACCCTGGTGAGATTATGCATTGATGTCTCTCTTTTCCCCTTATAATCTCCTTGTAGTTTTTGTTATAGCGAAAAATTTGTTGGGAGTTAATTTAATCCAGTTACATCTATCTCTTGATAAATTACGAATCCAAACACCAATTTGGGATTAATAAAGAATCCTAACTTTGTATTGTCCACATATTTCTAATCAATGTTGGAAACACTGATTCTACAAACATTTCCAATTTGTTGTTGTTTTCATGAGCATCATCATCAAGTTCGTCATAATGTTGTGTCTATTATTCGTGAGATTGCTTCACTTTGAGTGCTTAGTAGAAAGAAATAAGCAGGTGTTGTTGAGCGCAATTGAGACTAGAAAGCCTGTCTGAGCTTATGTGACTAATTAAGAGGCTTAAGTATTCAGCCAAAGCTCAACCTATGTTACAAGTCAGGCTTCAAATGAGATCAGCAAAGTAAAATTGATTTGATGGTGTAGAAGATTACTAGTCGAGTCCTTTTGCTCAAATTTTTGGACTCGTAATATTGCACCAAAAAATAGCAACTTAGTCACCCTTGTAGGGAGGTAACTAGGGATGCGGGAAAATGAAGTATCTAAAACGCAAGAGAAACACGTTACACATAATAGTTGAAGCACAAAGTTGAATTTGTTAATTCTAATACACCACCTGCAAGCAAAATATAATTTTCACGCTTGTGTTACAACTTGTTAGGAGTGGCTAAATATGTCCTCTAAATTTCTTACCTGGTTGAACTTGCATGGTGTTGAAATCCCGAATTTTAGGCTTAGAATCAGCTTCCTGATTTCGGATAAGTTGTTTCCTGATTTGATTTGATTCAGTAGATAACTTTCCTAATCTCTAGGCCATGACTTTAGGAGATTTGATTTTCATAATTATATTATAAATAGAAGCCCTATGTACAGAATATTCATTAAATAAAAAACAGAAAGCATTATTCCTGCTTTCACATGGAAACTACGTATATGATAAAACTGAGATATGCATGTTTGGCTGGTTTAATTTTTTCCCCTTTTTTTTTTTGGCTGGATCAACCTTAAAAATTTTGTGTTGTTTAAATGTCAATGAATATATTTTGATATTGTTCTTGTATATTTGAATATTAGGTCATGCCTCCATTATGGTGTAGGTTGGATCGGCTTTGGTTCTCACACCCCGGAGTTCTGGAGGGATCTATGACTAGACAACCTTTCATTTGCCCTTTGGACCATGTATTTGAGGTATTTCCTGTTTATTCAAGTTAAAAAGACCACTCTTCACGCAGCTTTCTTTACGAGAGTCTTGGCATTTACAAGTCAAATTGCCATTAGAGCATTTTCTCTACTAAAATCAACCTAATTTCCTAATTTCTACATGTAAAGTTGATTTTAACTTGTATTATGTACTGCAGGTAAATATGATGCTCAAAGAACTGCCTGAGGAATACGGTCCTGGGATCAATATTAGAGAATACTCTTTCTTTGACAATCCATTAATGCCCCAACAGGTTTCAAATTTATGATATCTAGTATGATGTTTTCTTTCCTCTCTCTTTTTCTTTGCTTCAATGCTTATATCTTACCCTTCTAAATGTTTTTCTAGGTGAAAGATTCATGGCTTGAGGTTCATCTTTGTGAAGAAGGAGCCGAAGATTGTCACGCATCAAATGACACAAGTCGACCAGGTGTACTCAGATTCCCGAAGCACAGCAATGAAGAAACGGTACTAGATTCTTACACAACACTCGTGTTTTCCGTCCATACTCGAATTAAGATGTTCATCTCCTTATAAGCTGAACCAAAAATTTCTACTTCCATATACAGTTGAAGACAATATTCTCATCGTTCAAGGATGTCAAAGTTATTCAATTCTCTTCAATGCATGCCTTCATGGGTTTCACGGACAAGGTAAGTTGACCACAATCTGTTTTTTGCCGGTATCTAATTCTTCGATTTCATGTCTTGTCTCGTGCTATATTCTGAGTCTTCTAATTGTTGGTTTCAGACAAGGGAAGAGAAATTTAGGAGACGCATGAAGCGATATGTCGGCATATGGTGTTGTGTGATGGATCACACACCGGGTCACATATATTATGACATGTATTGGGATGAAAAACCAGATTGGAAGCCGATACCGCCTCAAAAACCCGAGGATGATCACCCACCTTTGTGAGTTTTAAGCTCAACCCACATTGTCAAAAGTCCATTAATAGTAGAGGAATATTCACAGAAAGAAATATCCCTTGAAAGGTTTGCTTTTCAGACCTCCAAGAGGGTCCATACGTCTTTGTACATGGAAGAGAGCGTATCCCTAATTCGAGGATCTACTTTGTAGTGTTGACGTAAAGAATTTCTTGTATAACAATATTTATTCCGCACTCTTTGGTATTAACATTTTAAAAGCTCAAATAAAACAAGATGGAAGCTAAAGATTTTAGGGTCAGGTTGGTCTTCATTGTTCCTTCCTATCTTCATCAATTTATTAGTTGACCTAAAAACCTAAAAATACCCCTAAGTCATCTCTCTTCTTCGCCCCCCTAGTTAGGTCTACCTCGGTAAATACCGTATTTACTGATAAATATTGTATATCATATTAATTGGTAAATATCGTATTTACAAGTAAATAACGCATCATATTTATTAAAAATTTGACTGCTGACACTGACGACCGTTAAATACTGTATTTACAGGTAAATATTGTATTTACTCGTAAATTCATATTTATTTAAAAATTCGGCCACCAGCACTGGCGATCGGTCTATACTGTATTTACCTAAAAATATAATATTTACCCAAAAATATTGTATTTATCCAGAAGTATGACTATTGATGGCGGCGCTGGCGACCGGTAAATACCATATTTACCTGAAAATATTGTATATTTACACATAAATACATAATAATTTAGAAATTTGAATGCTTACAAAAATTTATACAAATTAACTAATATTACAAATTGATCCCAAAAAATTCCTAAATCTGTACCAAATCAAAATGCTAACCCTAATCTCCAAATCAGCTCCGAATTTGATTCCTAAACTGTAACCCTAACCCATGCCAAAATAACCCAAATTTCCACCAACAGTTCCCATTCCGGGCATAACCCATCCCTTCTCGACACCTGTCAGCCACACCTGCAACAAAAATCAACAAACCAAAACCTACCGGTAACACCTGTAACAATTCGTCTCTCCCTAACCGCAACAACGTCACCGCTGGACGCCCGAGAATCTTCCCGACGGCAAAGCCCGATCTCTACAACTTCTTATTGGCTTCTTCATCTTCACGTGAGATCGAAGATCGGTGACATCGAAGCCAAGATTGAACTTTGACGAGCACATCAATGTCGTCTTGACTTTCAACTGGAAGTATTAATCCAATTAAAAGAAATTATGTTTTGTAATTTCATAATCTAATATTTAATTTTTCAATTTCTAATTGAGTCTAGGATACAAATCATGGTGTTTTTCATTGAGAGGTAAAGGCTTAAATACTTTCTACGAGATAAAGTTTTGAGTGAATGGTTGAAATAACACAATTAATACGGTGATTAGTAAATTATAGCACAATTTTTAAAACATGTAATTTATAGCACAATTTAATATCTTAAGTTTCTAATATTATTAGAAATTGAAAAATACCCTTAAACCCTCTCTCTTGAACCACCCCCCCCCCCACCCTGCCCACCCACACACACAGA